GTAGTGACACTGAAGAAGAAGCATCACAAGCTGAAGCTTTAGGAGTTGATGGTGGTGAGTATAGGTGTCAAAACATAGCCCGACCCGATTAACCCGCCTGATCAACCCGACTCGCAACCGACCGCAACTCGAATTGACTAAAAGTCAATAACCCGTAACCCGCCCGACTCGCAACCCGATTGACCCGCAACCCGACTGACTTGCAACCCGATTAACCCGAACCCGACTAACCCGTAACCCGACCGACTCAACCCGAAATTCATCTAATCCACTTGAATAATTATAAAAATATACAATACATAGTTTTTCAAAATAAAGTTTTTCATTCTAAACTTAAGTAAAATTTTTTTTCATTTCGTATAGGAAATTTAAAAAATATGAAACTCACTTGATATTACGTATTTTAAGAAAATTACAAAAATTGAAACATGAAGGTCACTTGAGATCATGACAATATTAATATAATATATAAATTAAAATTTTGGTTAATTTAACCATTCAATAAAATTATTAATTAAATATAAATAAAGTATAGTAATGTATTTGGTAATTTGATGTTTTTAAATGAAGAGAGAAATTTTGGTGTATTCAAGTTTTTGGGAAGAGAAAGAAGAGGGAAATTTGGTTTTTTGAATTTTTTAGAAAAGAAACAAGTGAGAATTTTGGTGGTTTTGATATGTGGGAAGAGAAAGAAGTGGGAAAGTTTGATTCTTTTGATTATGAAAGAGAAATAAGAAGGGAAACTTTTGAATTTTCAACTTTTTGTAGAAGGAAAGAAGAGGGTAATTTGGTTCTTTCAATTTTATGGAAGAGAAAGAGGAGGGAAAATTGAGTTTTCTAATGTATGGAAGTAGAAAGAAGGAGGGAAATTTTAGTATTTTTGTGAAAAGAAAGAAGGAAACAAATTTGGTGTTTTCAATTTTTTGGTTTTTCATAATTTTAGCTTTTGAAATATGAATCTTTAACTTTTATATGGAGGGCATGACTAGTTAAAATTATTCTTATATAAAGTATGTATGTAATTGTTTATGGGCTAATAAATAAATTAACCATTAGTTACAACAATTTATACTAAACTTGATAAGTAATCTTTGACGGTTCGTTGTTTAGGATATAAAGTATATGGTTAGGGTATAGGGTATAAGGTACATATGGTTTAGGCTGTATATGGTTAGGATATAAGATATTGATGGTTTTGACGGTTCTAAGTTTTTTATTAACATATGTTCACTTGAAGTCATTTGAAGTCTTTAACGGCAGGAGATCCCTTTTTAATTTATGTTTATGGTACGTGGTTAGGGTACAAGGTATGTGGTGTAAAGTATAGGATATATGGTTAGGGTATACAATTAGCAAATATCACTTTTTATCTATATTTTGAAAATCAAAGTATGAATTTCACTTTTAAATTAACTATACTAGCAAAATCACAACTCAAAGACATATGGTTAGGGTATAGGGTATAGGCTATGTGGTTAGTGTATAATGTATTGATGGTTTAGGGTATACAATCAACAACATATACTAACTTAATATTGTTGATTGATGGTAATGCTAAGTGTGTAGGATATATGCTATTGAGTAAGTTATGATTGAAGTCACAATAATTTTACTAAATTTGATAGTTAATCTTTAATGGTTCAATTTTTAGGATAATTCGAACAATTTTACAAATAACTCGTTTGGCAACAGTTTACTGAAGTTATTTGGGCAATGAGTTATTTCAAAATAACTCCTTTTATCACTATGCTTTTGCCAAATACCACATGTCAAATACCAGATTTGCATGGTTATACTAAACGAGATACTTTAATCCAATTACTACTGAATTAATACTAAAATATCAAATAAACAATTAATGGTGTCTTTTGGTTGCAAATATTGATATCACCATTACTATTAGCTATAATAATTTACCAATTATGATTAATTACATAACAAGTTTGCAAGTAATACAAATTGATTTAACGTTTTGACGAGTTTTTTTCAAAAAAATAAAGTATATATATACGAGGTAGAAATAAATTGGTTAAAAAGTTGAGAAAATATTTTAAATTAGTGTAATAAAATGTGTAAGTTGGTAATGAGTAATGAGTTAAGTTACTTGATCCGCTGGCCCGAACAACCCGAAACCCGATCCGCCCGCAACCCGCCCGACCCAAAACCCGATGAACCCGCAACCCGATTTGCCTGCAACTCGATTGAACCCGAACCCGATGAACCCGCAATCCGACTAACCCGCAACCCATTTGAACCCGAACCCGATGAACACGCAACCCGACTAAACCGCAATCCGTTTGAACCCAAACCCGATTGAACCCAGCCTGAACCCGCCCGAACCCGCCCGATTGACACCTATAGTGGTGAGGAAGGTCATCATTGCATTGAAATTGATCCTAATATTTCTATTGGCGAGGATGGAGGTAATGATGCTATTCGAGTTGATGGTGACCATGGATTTGATAGTCCATTTGATGATGATGACGATGATGATGATGGTGATGACGATGATGATAATGATGATTTGGATGCCAATGTTGAAGGCGATGATTTATGTAGTTTTATTTCTATCATTTAGACCATTTGTGTGCTTTCATTTCAATTTTAAGAACTTGGATTATTAAACTTGTGTCATTATGTAAACGTAAACCAGCTTGTTGGCATTTGGATTTTTAAAGTCGTTTATGAGTTGCTATTCATTTCTATATAATTTATACACTAACATTTTATACAGCACATGTCGTACTTAGCAGATTATTAGCTATTTTACACGATGCATAAAAAACTTAGTGGGTTACTTGAGTTCAAAAGAAAGACCCCCTTGAAGGGGCATCTGCGACCGATCGATTCCCAGTTTCTTTTTCTTTTCGAAGTGGTAACACTTCTTTTTGAAGAGAAAATGGCTTCATCCATAGTACAATCTTGTCTGTCTATGACCGTTTTTACTTTCCAAAAACCCTTGGTAGGGCAACGGAGTATCCCAGGTCTACTCCCGGGATGACAGGGAATTCCTCGATCATGCGGTATTGCAGCTGGTAGCTTTGTTCAAAGGATACGCTTTTACGCTTCGATTCTACGCTTTACGATTTTACCCATCCACCGCTTCTAGGTAGAATCGCGCTTTTGACTACATTGTGATGGACGGTGTTGGCTGAGTTTCTAGCCACCTCTTTGCGTGCCCCACCAGTGAGTGGGGGAAAAGGTGAAGGTGGATTGCATCATCTGGAACACCGTTCAGCTTGAAACCGTTGGTCAGCTGCAAGAACCGAGAAAGGTATACCCTCGCCTCTTCATCCTTGAGCCCATGAAACTACATGGAGGATGTAATCAACTGGATCTAGCAAGGCTTAATCTCAAAGTTGTTAGCAAGTATGGGCGTGTACTGGATGACTAGGCAGATATCAACAAGTCGTGGAGTGTAGAAGTACTCCATGGTGTGCTCCGGCAGAGGTGGTTGTTGGTGGGCAGCGGCTACCTGCAGATTGCCATTGTTAGGCAGAACCTGATTCACTGGGGGAATCTGGAGAGGCATCCCCAGATGAGGTTGCCCCAGGTATAGAGGTGGTTTATGCCCCAAGTTCAGGTTGTTCATCATGTTGTGATCGTCTCCTATATTGCCTTCCTGCTCGGAGTCACTAATGATCCGACATTCGACTTGCTCTTCCTCCGCAACCAGTCTGTTCTTCGAGGCTCTTCGGATGTGGAGAAGAGTGCGCTCAAGCTCGTTGTCAAAGGAAACAAGTACTTTGTCGGACTAGCTACGGGTCATGTACTACTTGCACAGAAGCTACAAGCAAACCCATGAAGACAAAAGGGGGAAAGAAATAAAAGAAAACAATGCGGAAAAGATTTGCTAAAGTAATAGAAATCATGTTGCTTCAACAACATAGTCTCGCCAATACCGTCACACTTGATAGTGGCCAAGTGTAACCACAAACTAATGCGTAGTATAGCGGGTTTAGCTTTGCTTGTCAACTCGGGTCCTAGATGTGATGACTACTCTGTGAAGTTCTCGTTATCGAGCAGTTTGAATGTAGTGAAGTTGTAACTAATCTAAGCAAAGACAAAGTAGTAAGGTTGTGATTCAAGTTAAGAAGGCTCATTCAGGTATGAGTCCCCCTAGATCGCAGTTAGGCCAAGTTGTAATTTGCCCGAGAGAACAATAAACCCCGTGTGCATCTCATTGTTTTTATTTTCTTTGATGTTATGTTCCTTCTATTTTCTAAGAGACAAAATCTTACTGTTCAGATTCAAACGTACAACAATTAGCGTTTTAAAATACTAGCAAATGAACTACCGACACAAACATTGACAACAATCACAAATGGTACGACTTCTATAGACCCTTATCTTTTTCATTCTTCATTTTTTGTTGTCTCCTTTTCACACAGTTATGCAATCAAAAGTAAAAATTATACTCCGATGAGGCTAATATAAAGACAAAAAAGTTAGCAAACTCAAAGGTCGAAATCAATGTTGTCAACCCGCGGGTCGACTCGAATCCGATCGATCTAGTGGGTCAAGGTTTAATGGGTCACCCGGTTTAGCCCGATTCAGCCCAAAAATATGAAAAGAGTCACTATATTGTACTTATTATGAATCCAACATAAAAAATACAACACTACTTAAACTCCAACACACTTAAATAACATCAACTTAAATTCAACACAGAAAAAATTCAACGACACTTAGGAATGAGGAGCCTGCTGACCCACTCGGACGGGCCAACCTCCTGGGTTTGACCATTTCTGTCCTAACTTTCTAATGGATTGGTCTACCCGTTTGCAAGGACGAGTCCGGATCAACCCGCGGGTCGCTTGGTCGAAATACATCAAACCAGCAAAGTTGATAGCTCTCTTACAAAAGAAAACAGAAAATGACAAAGGAAAAAAAAAAAAACGTAAAGCGAAAGTTAATCGGGACCGTCCATCCCCTGGTTTTGGACAGCGGTTAATTAATCTCTCACGACGACCACCATCTCTCAACAGTAATCCAACCTCCCCAAATCTAACGGCGCCTAGAAATCCTTCTTGCGCAACCAAAAAGGGAGAGAAGAACAAGAAGCGAACCCAAAAGCCAAACAGGCAGAGCAGAATTCAGAAAGAAAACAGATAGAAAGAGAGAAGACAGAACGGTGAAGAAAAACGAAAACGGAAGAGAAGAAGTAAATAGGAAGAGGGGAAAAAAGAAGAGAATTCTTGGCAACCAAACAGTAACAGAGAAAATTTGGGTTGGAGACTACCCATCAAATCTCGTCAACAAAAAAGAAAACGTTCGGATTGTGAAAGTTTAATTTTCATTTCTTCCTTACAATTTTTTTTTTGTTCCGTTTCCTCTTCTGTTCGGGAAAAACTTGTTTGTGGGTTGGAGTTAAAAAGACCGGGGAGGTGGGATTTGGCGTTTGGGTTCGTCGGGAGGGAAAATTCTCGAGGTGGGTTTCCAATTTTTTTTTTCTTTGTGGGTTTTGTGTTTGTTTCATCTCCGGCGGTGGGTGATGGGATTGGGGAATAGTGAGAATGATTTGATCGTCGATGATGACGGCGGAGGCGGCGGTGTTGTCGACGGTGGAGGTGAAGTAGGCGGCGGAGGGTATGGGAAGTCGTTGGGGACGGTTTCGTGTTCGATTTGCCTCGAGGTTGTGACGGATACAGGGGATCGATCATGGGCTAAGCTTCAATGCGGACACCAATTCCACCTGGGTAAGCCTGGAACAAATTGATTTTCCTAGATTGGATTTCGATTTGGTTTTACTGTCCCTTTTCATTTGCTTTGGATTCTGGGTTTTATGTTCTGTTCTGTTTTCTGGTTGTTTGGAGTATTGGGAGGGTGAAAGGTTGAGATCTGAGGGCAATGTTGCTGGATGATGAGCTGGGTGTTGCCCAATTGTGGTTGATTGTTAGTAGCTAGCTTAGATTCCTCTGGTTCTTCTGGAATTGCTAGAGAATAATGATATGTTGGATAAATCAAATGTGCTTACACTAATACTTCATTAGCATGGTGGATTTAGTTGTAGTTGTGGCATTCCATTGACAATCGATTACGAGGCACATAAATTCTTAATTTCTGAGCTCTAGACGGCTTGCTTGTGAATTTGTTGATAGCTTGAAATGATTGATGAATTTTGGATTGCATGTAATGTTTCTTCCCCCTGCAAATGCTGCAACTGTGGTTGATTGTGGGTGGATAGCGTGTGAGATTCCTTTGGTTCTATGGAGTCGCAGAGATATGTGTTGGATGATTGAAATGTGTTTTCTGATAGTTCATTATTATACCGGATTTGATATTTGTATTCTATCGACTTTGATGAAATGATGAGGCAATATAAGTTTCTGAATTTCACCAGTCTAGGAGGCTTGCTTTGTGAATTACTGGAGAACTTGAAATATGGATATGTTTGGGATTGCATGTTATGTTTCCCTCACTGTAATCTTGATTCAAATGTATGTTAGATGATCTTTTGTGGCCTTACAATGGATAATGGTTAGGATTGATACTGGTTTTAAGATTTGATATTTTAAAGATTTGTGGTAATTTATCTTCTAGAGAAGTTTATGTTCTCATAATTGTGGATGATCGTGTAGGGTCGCCTAGAAGTTGTGATTGTTCAAATTGGAGCACTTCTGCTCTGCTATAAAGTATTGGTGCTTTAATGTGCAACTTAAAGTTGTACCATATAAGTTTATGTTGTACCATAAAAGAATTTGTATTCTTATGTTATGACACAATTTTACAAGTTTAAATTGTACCGTCACATAAAGGTACAAGTTCAAGTTATACCATAAAAGAATTTGTAGAAAGAGTATAGGTACAATCTGAAGATGTACCATAACTTTAAAGGTATAACTTCAATTTGTACCATAAAAGCAAAAACTTATACCACCAATGCTATATAGCATTGTAAAATTCCGCGTTCAAATTGATGTATTGACTCAATTAGTGTATTATCATTTGATGTATTAGGCAAACCTCATGTTTGTAGTTTTAGATTGTGTTTTGTTGTAAAGCCACAAAAGTCATTTTTGAGTGATTGTGAAGAATCTCAAACAAAAAGTAGAGATTGATAATCCCTCAATTATGAGTGATTGTGGTGGGGCCTCTAAAAAGGTAATGCATGTATTCTAGTTCAATATAATAATAAAAAACGACTTAATCTAACAAATACATGAATTAGCTCAATACATCATTTGAAATCACAACTTCCAAATGACCCAGTGTATGTTGCATTTTCTGCATCCTTGATGGGTAGTTTTGTATTTCTAAGGGGCTGCAGACTTAGCTTCCGTGGAGGGCACAACACATTGATGTTGCGAATTTCACTCTGGCTACTGTAATAAGTAATAACTGACGAACATAGGTTTCTTACCTTTCAGATTCAATTGTTTGCAAGGTGCAAACCTTTAAAGGAATACAGTGACCTATAATAATTGTCTGTTTCTTTTACCGCCCTCCTTTTGAAATTACTGGTTCTATAATTCAAAATCTGTAACGGGTGTTTCGAGAATGAATCTGCAAGAGACCTACTAATGATATGTTCTTATTATGGGCACTATTACATGCTGACTTGCTTTGATTCAATAAATGTTTGGCAGACTGCATTGGTTCGGCTTTCAATACAAAGGGAGTGATGCAATGCCCTAACTGCCGGAAAGTCGAGAAAGGCCAATGGCTCTATGCAAATGGTTGTCGTTCGGTCCCTGAGGTCAACGCGGATGACTGGGCACATGAAGAGGATGCTTACTATAGCGTCTCTGAAGTGGTGAGTGGATATATTAATAAAGAAACTACTTTTGATTGTGGTTCAGTTTTGTTTTGGCTGTGTTTTTATCATTGTTGCGTCCGGTTATTTTGAAAATTATGCGTTTCTAACAGTTGATAATGATGGTGAAGCTCCTGTGTTTTCTTTTTGTTTGTAGTTGGGCGGGATATTAGTTTTACTTAAGACTCATGCATGAGTTCAGTTTATTATGTACTTCAACTGGTTATGCTGTTCATTTAATAGCTCTTTCAAAATTTATACCGAGATTGGAATAAGGATGGAATATTTCACTCTTTTTCTTTGTTAGCCATGGAGTTAGAGGTTAATCGGTTTTCTGCCGCACCTATTTCTAGTAAGATTCAGATTGGTTTTTTATAAAGTGTAAAACTTCAAAAGACATCAAATGGTCCTAAAGAATGAAAATAAATTGAGTATCGTTTCTTTCTTGAGCTTTTGTTGGGAAAATAGGGAATTTCTGATAGTTTGTCAGCACTTTGATTAGTCATTATATCTTCCTTCCCCATCGGAGCTTTTTTACTACCCTTGGTCTTTGTTATCTTTAATTATTTAAAAAAATGAATGAGGAAGCCCGTGAAAGATATAACAAAAGGTTTATTGTTGTATGCTGTCGAAACATCATAGTCGGAGTATGTGAACATTGTCTTCGGTACTTGCTAAGCTTCTTGTTAGCTTGCTCACGAATGCTATCTTAATTTTTTCTCGGAACTGGATGTCTTTTACTCGAGGAACTAGATGATCAGTCTTTCTAGTTTCTCATTTGTATTTTGCTTTTGCAGTCTCTTGGAATTCACTATTGTCCTTTTGGTGGTAGCTTGGCGAGAATGCCTTCATCCTTTGAGTGAGTATCCTTCTACAGTTCAGAACTGCATTGTAGCTTTTAGTCTTCATGTTTTCCCTTTGCCCTACCCCGTGCGAGAACGGCACGAGGTCTGCTGAAATGAATGCCAACTGTGGTGTGTGAATGATAAACGGAAAGTTGGAGGAATTGTTTTGGAAATGAGAAGAGAAAAATGGCTTGCACTTGCTAATTGTCAGAGCTGATTTATGGGAATTGCTACATATATGTCATTAAACTGTTATCCACAGTCCCAAGAGCTTGACCATGAATGTGTTGACCATTTAATTTCCCTGCCTTGAATCGTTTGCTTTTCTGATTTGCAGGGAAGGGGAGTTCTCAATGAATGCATGTAAGTTTTCATTCTCATTCTGGTACTGTTATTTCTGATATTCCAGTATTGTATATTCCCTCACTCTGATATTCTAGAATTGTAATGTTCTGATATTCTAGATCACGATCTGGTGAGTCAGAATGCTGTTTTTGCTGAACACACAGCTCCCATATCGTCAGCCAGCCACGCTTGCCCTTATATTGCTTACTTTGGACCGATCCACCCTTCTTCCTCAAGCTCCAGTGCTGCCATTTCAGATACTTCTAACTTCAACAGTCACTGGAATGCTCCATCAGTACCTAATGACATGACGAGCTCCTATGGCTTCCCTGCTGCTGTGGATCTCCAATATCACAGTTGGGAGCATCAGTCTCCTCCATTTCCTACAACAAGCAGTCGAATGGGTGGTATTGATCAGAGTGCCATCTCCCCAAATGCTCAAAGAGCAGTGGGTAGAAGCAATAATGCCGGTCCTCAGAGAGCTGGTTCTTTCATGCATCCCTTCGTCATAAATCCTGGGTATGTCTTTATTTAAGTACCAGTGTTGATTTAGGTGATTTCACCGGTTCATTGTCCGCTCAATCAAAGTTAAAATTGTGGTTCTGCTTAGTTATTCAAAGTGTTTACTAGAAGTGACTAAACTATTAACTGAAAAATACAGTCCAATTTAGTCAACTTATGACAAGATTTTGATTATAATTTGAGGAAGCTAGAGTTTCATTAGTGAACTTCTGTTTTGATTCTTTAATCTTGGCTGGATTTGTTGTCCTCAAGTTTGGAACTTCAGTGTATGAATACCTATTTATATTTTTTGTTCATTTTGTACTTTCTCGGAGTTTTGTGTACTAAGTTTGGTTGAATTTTCTGTTTGGCTTTCACAAAAACTGGTTTTTTGTTTTGGCTAACTGAATCTTTGACCATCCATATTGTTACTTGCAGTTCTGGTGCCAGAGCCGGTAGCTCAGTCCCTCCCTCGGGCACTCCAACTTACCAAGGCAGCAATGCAAGGGCACGTGATCGAGTTCAAGCTCTTCAGGACTACTATCAGCAACAGCCCGGGAGCTCCCCAACGATTCATGTTCCTCCCATTATCGCCGCCTCAGCACGGAGACCGAGCAGCAGCAGCCACAGGGGAGTGTCACGATTGATCCCACCGGCGCCCGACCAGGCTGGGTTTTACTTCTTCCCGTCAGGAGGGACAACATCATCCGGGCGGAACTACCAAGAGTCGGAGAATGCATCGTCCCGGACTGGGTTCCGGGCATGGGAGCCATTGCTTCCTTTTAACAACAACCATCCTGATAGAGATTCAGGCTGGGGGCCCACGTACCAGCAAGGCGGCGGCGGGTCTGAGGCAGGAGGGATAAGATCAGGGAGCCTCCGTCAGAGGCAGAGTCGTTCGTAGTTTTTCTACTGCGTCGAGAATTTATATCCTTGTTGAGGGGTGAAGTGGAGCAAAACTCGTTTTACTAGACTGCTGTGGGAACCCAGAAGCGGACGCAGAACTATATGTGTAATGCTTAAACTATAAATGATATATGATGGTTTGGGGATTGATCGATGGAGAGCGATCGGTAGTGCCATGAAGTGGCCTGAGAACAATGGTGTTGTTATTTTCATGTGGGCAACTTGGCCTGGCTGTGTTGGCGGTATGCTTTGATTGATGCAGGCTGTTCGATGAACATCATTTGGCTTCCTCCGGTTTCTTTGCCTTTCTGAGGATATATAAAAATTGTTAATGTTATGTCATGAGGATCGTGAATTTTGATCCAGTCTGTTAGCTTTGCCCTTTTGAATCCCTGGCTGCAGACCGCTTCCTCTGGTTTCAGTTGGTTCAGTGTTATCTGGTTCGTTACATGTTGGTCACTGAGATTACAAAAAATGTTTAAATTTGGTCACTCGAAATATTAAAATTCATTGGTGGTACTTCACTTTATTGAAATAGTTCATATTTGGTCGCTTTATGTCCAACTCGGTTAACTTTGACTGATGTGGCAATCAACTCTCAAAATTGATCGTAACTTAGTGACGTGACGATTAAGAACTAATATATAAAATAAAATTTAATCTATTTTAATTTTCAACACATTTTTACCATAAAATAAATAAATAACTTGTAGAGACACAATGGGAACCTCGTCGACTTTGAACTTTGCTGTGAAAAGTTTCCCCAATTTCTCATTTTCATTCCCCTTTCCTTCTTCCTCTTTCTGCTTCGACGCTGCTGCTGTTTCCCCATCTTCGACGGAATCAACAGTTTTCTGTACACTAGGACTTTTTTCATTGTTGGATTTCTTGAATCCCAACAAGAAAACCCTGAATTTGGTGGCGGATTTGAGCAGGGAGACGGGAATCCTCTGAGATTTAGGGTTCATGGCGTAGGAAGATTCCATCATCGGCAGGCACCAACGTTCCCTTTAAGAGCATCTAGTCGGAAGGGGAAAGTGCCAGTTGGCTGGTGGGGTCCGCACGGTCGTTGCAGCTGGAAGCCGGCGACATCGTGAAATCGAACTCTCCCTCTTCTCCGTCGCCACCACCGCCGTCGGAATCAGAATCGGCGGAGGAATCCCCCTTCCTCTGCCCCTCTTCCTCGTCGTCATCGTCGTCGTCTCCCACTTCCCCAACCGCAAACTCCAAGAAGAAGAAAGGCCCATCGTCGCAGGCAGAGCTGCCATCCTCCTCGTTAGTGGAAGGCGGCGGAGCGGCATTGTCGTCGGGGAAGGCAAAAGTGACAATGGTGGTAAAAATAAAATAAAATAATAATATTTTTTTATTTCATGGTAAAAATGAGTTGGACATTAAAATAGATTAAATTTTATTTATTATTTCTTAATTGCCACGTCACTAAGTTAATGGTCAACTTTGAGAGTTGACTGCCACATCAGCCAAAATTAACGGAGTTGGAGAGAGAGTGACCAAACGTGAGCGGTTTCAGTAAACTGAAGTATCACTAATGGATTTAAATATTTCATGTAACCAAATTTAAACGTATTTTTAATCTCAGTGACCAACCATGCAATTAACCAGATAAATATGGTATTGTTACGAAGCATATTGACATTACAATGCACATCATAGATGGAAATAGTGACAAACAATTTTTTTGTAATCTATTGGTGTTATTTATTTATCTTCCTTTAGAAACAGTGACAAACAATGCACATCATAGATGGAGATTGCATGGAACTTTGCATCAACATTACAAGATATTCAGAGTCCGGTAAATTCTGCATTTAAGCCAAATGGCAAATGACCTTCCTCCTCCTTATGCTCTATAGTCCTCCGGCTGCCGAAGCTCGTTTCTAATTCCTTTTATCTCGTCGTGATGATCCTCGAGTAGAACGTCACCGCCATATCGGTTTTTGCCCCTTCCTATTCAATCTTCCACCACCTTAGAAGCCAACGAAATTGAAAGCAATGGGCCAACGTTAACGAGTGGAGGGAGATGAGAGGAGAGGAGAAGAGCGGCCGCAACTGTTCTAGAAAGTCCAGTCGGTGTGTTGGCTTTGGTCTCTCGTGAGACACATGGAGTGCAGAAGGGTGAAACAGGGAAAGAGAATCGTAATCGATAAATAGGTTGGATGAAGCGACTCATTACAAATTCGTGCCGAACCCATTACCTCTTCGTCTATGTTCACAAAAAAATGAACAAAAAGTATTAGCATATTGATTTTCTCCAATAAAAGCAATTCAAATTCAGTTAGATAATACGTAATGGGTTAATTTGCCATCACTATACTCGTTCCAAACTTCAGATCCTACCTAACAAGATATTGATTCAAAATATACTCATTATGTCCATCTAATATTTATTCGTGTGGTAATAGCACAAACATGAAAGGTCCAACATCACAGTTTATTGATCAATCTACCAATTACGACAATCCATCCATCTCCACAAACACAAATCCATACCATTCGGTGGCATATAGGCTCCAAAACATACTACCTAGCGATATAGAAGCTCAATAAAGCAACCTCACCTTGATAGAAACACGATTTATTCGGGTTTCTATCTTTATCATTATTTTAATTATTGTGATTTTATTAGATATGGTTAGTAGTCTTTTAGTCGTATTAGGTTTATATTGGGTTTTCTAGTCTTTCGTTATAAATATGTACTTTGGGTTTACGTCATAATCAGTCAAGAAGAATATTAAGAAAAGTCCTCCAACCCTAATCTCCTTATTCTCTCGATTCTCGTTCTCAATCCCTCTAAGGCCTAGGCCGATTATGTTCTTCTTCTTTCCCAAATCCTAATTCTCAATCCCCAATTTAGTTCGTCTAAACTCTAATCCCCAAATATCAAACCCAATAGAATTTGTATCTACCAATTGGTATCAGAGCCCACATGAGCTCGTCAAAGCTCACATATACGGAACTCGCGAAGATGTTGGAGCAGATTCGACAGGCGAATGAACGCGTCCGAGCTTGGGAACGCTAGTACGCCACGCTCGAGGAGAAGCTGGCCATGGCAAGAGAGAGAAGGTCGACCCCTCCGCACCACGAGGCAGCCACCGCGACGTCGGCTGAGGAAGGAGCAGCAGCGATGGAGTCATCCGCACCTGCCACCATCGAAGAAGCTCCTGCTGTAGGAGCACTTGCGGAGGTGAAGGCGGAGAAGGTGTGCTGGCCTCTTCGCCGTCGAGTGGGTGGTATTGAAAGCATAGAAAGTCGGCCTGCTCAGAGGAAGTTGTTAGACTTCGATGGGCTTGATCAACAATTCTCCGATTCTTATTTTGTGGATTTTGAAAATGAAGAGGAAGAATTGCTCGGCTATGGACAAAGTGACATATGTCACGTGGTTGGAGAGGAGTCAAGTTGTCTAAGAGTTGTCAGAAAGAAATGCAATCGTGAGGTTGAGCGCAATTGGAAGCGAAGAAAGCGAAAGAGTAAGAAAGCGAAGGTTTACTGCAACCTTGAGGACAAGGTTGGTCTCAAGGGTAGGGGATGACAGAAACACGATTTATTCGAGTTTCTATCTTTATCATTATATTAATTATTTTGATTTTATTAGCTATGGTTAGTAGTCTTTTAGTTATATTAGGTTTATCATTAGGTTTTCTAGTCTTTCGTTATAAATATCTGCTTTGGGTTTACGTCATAGTCAGTTAAGAAGAATATTAAGAAAAGTCCTCCAAACCCTAATCTCCCTATCCTCTCAATTCTCGTTCTCAATCCCTCTAAGGCCTAGGCCGATTCTGTTCTTCTTCTTTCCCAAATCCTAATTCTCAATCCCCAATTCAGTTCGTCTAAACCCTAATCCCCCAATATCAAACCCGACAGAACTTTGTATCTATCATTTGGTATTATAGCCATGGTCGAAAATATGAGTTCGTCACAACTCTCAACCGGGGACGAACGAGTATATGAAGACTTCAAACCTGACAGCATAAGGATGGAGCTTTGACGTAGCGTTGTCTTGTTCCTCGCCTTGCCTGGGTTCGAGGAGGAGCACGTAGACGTGCAGGTGGTTGGATCTAATGTGCTAGCAATAACAGGACAACGATCGTTAGCTGATGGTAGCAGATGGATCCGATTTAAAAAGCAAATCAGATTCAGAGCAATCCACGACATCGAGCACTATCGCACTAAGTTTGAGAAAACTGATTTCATCCTTCAAGTTCCAATAATAACAGCACCTCCAGTCCACAACCATGACGAAGAGGCGGCAACCGAGGCACCACAACCGACCGTTGTTGCTGCGACTCAACTTCCCAGCGTCATAGAGGCCACAGCGTCGCCTGTGCTGAAATCGCAGACAACCACTCTTGTTGTCGCTGTGCAAGAACCAGAACGTGATGAGATGCCACCAACAGATCCACTTGGGAAGCTCACTGTCCTGGCGGCAATCAAACCACCGCCACTACCCACGGCTGAAATCGCCATCACCGGACAACCAGCTGGCGTCGCCTCTGGATTCCTCAAATCCACAGCAAGCTCGATGTCGCCCATCACGGCAGACACGCGAGACACCAGGCGTGACAAGATCCGCTCAAAGTTGACAGAGCCTAGCACCTGCGCCGGCCGACGACGCGAAGTAGGGGCGGGGATCAAGTTGGCGGCACCGGGGTCATCTTCCACCAGCCGCCTGATGTGGGAACCGCCACCAAGGAAGGAGCCGCCGGAGCTCGGAATGAGGGAAGCGGCGCGGGTGACCGGTGAAAACCGGGAACTAGAAGACGAGACGACTACGGGTACTCGGATTCTGTCGCTGAGGTCGCGAGCTGTGCGGCGATCAACGACAGCTTTCGCCAAGTTGTCGATCGAGAAGAAATAGGGAGCGGAGAGGCATGACTTCGGGTTTGCTTGGGTTGCAGTCAGTGGAAGGCGCGCTCGGAGAGAAGATGCCGCCAGAGGATGGGTCAGAGTTGAAGATGTCGGCGGGGTCAGGTTGGCAGCCGTACCATCAGCATAATGCGCACCACCGGAAAAGGAAGCGAAGAAAGAGTGTGGCAGTGGAAACTATCTTTCTGCAAACCTTGGGTCGCCTAGGGTTGAAGGAACAAGGCCGCACGGGGTACCTTGGTTGGGCGGAGCCATTTGGGCCTTCATTATGGAACAGTCAACGAACGTGGGCCACTTGGATCCGCATAATGCACTGAGGCTTGGAAGGATGTGTACTGAGGCTTATCGTTGTCCCGGGCCGAGCGGGAAGGGATTAAAAGGGTTTCAGATAGATGATGGGCTATTCCAAAGAAGGGTTAGGCCTCTGTTGAGATGGCTAGTTGGGTACGGATCGGTGTGGGACGCTAACATGAAGTTCGAGGTTCTTTATGGACTCATATCAATGAGAGAGGAGCTATTGAGGTTTGAATTTTTCAAGAAAGCGAATAGTGGGCCCATAGAAGTAAATTTCGAAGAGTTGGATTGGCACGAGAGGTCAATGCAAGAAGCCCAAATCAAGTTGGAGCATGATTGGAAGAAAAGGAAACGCAAGACACGGAGGAACCAAGATGCAGGTTGCACGGGCAACGTGGGAAAGTGGGTCGAGTCTTTCAACCTTGAGGGCAAGGTTGGTCTCAAGGGGGAGCGGATGATAAAACCCAATTTACGGGTTCTATCATAATTATTATTATTAAGATTTTATTAGATATGGTTAGTAGTCATTGAGTCATATTAGGATAGTCTATTAGGTTTTTCTAGTCTTTCGCTATAAATATGTAATAGGTCCTTCATTCATAACCAGTCAAGAAGAATATTAAGAAAAGTCCTCCAAACCTTAATCTCCCTATCCTCTCAATTCTCGTTCTCAATCCCTCTAAGGCCTAGGCCGATTCTGTTCTTCTTCTTTCCCAAATCCTAATTCTCAATCCCCAATTCAGTTCGTCTAAACCCTAATCCCCAAATATCAAACCCGGTAGAAGTTTGTATCTATCACACCTCCATATCTAGTCTCATCTTAGACATCTATTATCAACTCCGTTAGACATCTAGGATATTGCTATCAATATCCAAGGGGGAAGCTTGGGGAGCAAGCAACAGCTATATAAGTCCCCGCAAGAAAGCATCGATCAATGGTCGCGCTGAATGATGACCACTCAATACAACCTGAGCTCGCTTGCCATTCAAGTTCTAACTTCAGTAAGCTGGAAATGGAGACCTCAACCTCGACCAAGACCTGCAATTAGCAAAGAACATATAAGAAGTAAATAAAAACTCCAGGTTTCTCATGCTTCGAGTAATCACACTATGACAATATCCTCGATCCATTGGTCCAAAACACTCGAATTGCATGGCGTGCCAAACAGATAAGTGGATGAGGGCATATCCGCGTGATGAAGCTAATTGAGACTAGAAGGATTCTTGGTGTCCCGCGACAGCGATTTAGGCCACTCGCAGTAATCTGGGCTTATAATACCAAGGGAATCAGAACCAACAAGTTCATCAGAACGAGTGAGAGGTTGATACAAAGAGCAATCTCGAGATTAGTTTAGTTAGACTTTCACTTCAATATCACCCGGATTACCTCAAGACAAAACAAAAGGACGAGCACCCACATCCCTTCACGTGACTAAAATCCAATCTCCATCGTGTCGCTGCAAAAAGCCACATCTATCAAATGAACATGAAAGAAAGTGCGATGAAATGCAAAAAAGACTTGAGAGGATATCTGATATGATCCCAAACTGCCCACCATTCACTTCACAATTACTTGACAAAGAAGCTATCGAAGTTGGGAAGAAGAAGGGCAGAATTTGGCTAAGTCAAAATCCGTGTTCAGGGTACATACTTTGGAGGCATAGTTCTCTCAATTGGCTTGGTGGAAATTCAAGGTTAAGGGTTTGTTTTGTAGATAAAGTTTCCATGTTTCCAATGATATGCTTTGTGGAGCCAGATGATGTCACTAAGGTTATTTTCCAAGGCCTCAAAGTTGCTACCTCAAAACTGGAAAACTGCAAGAAAATGGCTAAGGCAGAAAACTGTTTTGTGAAGCCTACTTTGGAGCTCAATTCAAGGAGCATCGATGGGATTCAAGTCAAAAGGCTTCCACAACATGAAACTAGGTATGTTTGTGAACAAAGGGAAGGAATTGGATGAAGAATTGGAGATCGGGAAGGCCTCGAACGAAAGGCGTGAAGTTAGTACGAAAGCTGTCTTTTGACTGTTTGCTGGCAGCTTACTTGTGCTTCAAGAAAGGAAGTTTAAATCCGAATTTTGTGTCCTTTTTAGAGTAGAATTTTACCTTATTTGTTTCCTTGTTCATCTAGGTTTGTATTAGGTTTTCTTGGCTATAAATAGCCTTCTATTTTCGTTGTAAAATTAAGACTTTGATTAATCGAAATTGAGAACCGTTTGGTTTGTGCAAGTTGCGACTTGTTTTGGGTTTGGTGGATTCCAAACTTGCTGAGCTTGTGTATCGATTGAATAGTCACTTCAATCGTGGTCGAGCAACTACCCTTTTATACCAATCGAGCTATCCCCAGGTGTGGATTTGTCCTTTTGGTTCCGTTTTATCCAAGTTCGTATTAAGAACGCTTCGTTCTTGATTCGAGCTCAATCGATTCTTCGATTAAGTCGTTTGCTGCGTTACTTTGATAAAAATACACCCCCCAGAGTCGTATTAATATCAAATTCACTGGAGATGGTTGAGGCTTTCAAAGACGCTCTTAATTTGTCGATAGCATGACAAGAAAGATGCTCCTAACTCTAGGGACAGGGGAAGAACATAAACTCCCCCGATAATATATAACACACGGGTGGGTCGGTCTTGTCACACCATCTAACAAATTGGATTGGTTCTTTCTTCAAAACAAAAAGGGGAAATCTCAAGCTCTGGGTCAGGGCATATGCGGTATGCCAGGTTGGTAAGCACATAAGTCTTCAGAAGAAGTTCAAAAACTGAATGATGTGAGGCTTACGAGTTCAAGTACGAAGAACCAAGTAATTTAACTCCACTATTCCGGGACTAGCTGGTGGATTAACAGGCTAGAAAGAAGGCCATAAAAGACCAGGAACCAAGATCAAGTCAAAGGCTTCACCTTGTTTTGACAGCTCGACCCAAAAAGGGAGGATAATATAACATAGAGAACAATAAACAGGGGCAACCTATTTAGCTGACAGTCACAACTTCAGTAGTATCACTAGAATTCAAGAGCCAGGAACCAGATATGAGGAGCAACTTATGTCAATACCTCGAGTAGTTTCTCCCAGAATAATCTTCCCGTACCAAGCAAAATGCCAAGGAATTGTAGAAGATATTTAGTCATTCAAGGCAATCAAAGCAGCGTAACCCACAAATGAAGAATGTGTAAGAGTACAACTTCCAACTTACCCGTATATAAGCACGAGACGAGAGTATGTATTTCGAAATTCAGAGTCATCAAGTTTCCTAATCTGGACCAACATAACCCATAAGATAAGAGAGACATCAACGAATGTGAATATTAAATTATCCAAAGAAAATATTAGGGAATGGACCTACAGCATATTTCATATCATCATAGCTTGTGTACTCCACAATCCCCCTCATGCCTACAGAACTAGAGAGAATCAACAGGAACAGAAACATCAATCAAGGTTCAAGGTTGGTCAAGTTACCAAAACTCAAGTAATTTCAGTCAAAAGCCAAAGGGCTTCAATCTAGAACATGAATATCCTATGCAAAATCAACTTGAATATACCTCCCCGATCACGAAAGACCTGAGAAAAGCAGACATCACCAGCTCGGCGCATATGATCCTGATCATTTAAAGATGGGAAAACTTAGCCAAGGTTAGTGACATTCTTAGGATCCAACTAACATTCACCAGTGGAAGAGGAAGCAAATTCAGCTATATTTACCTTCAGGTCTTGCCATGAAGCAGAGGAAGGCAACCCAGTGACAAGAACTGCAAACAGAATCGATATGTAATTCACAATCAACTACCAAGAACTAAAGTTAAACTAGCCTTGATGGTCCACGACTGCTGCTGCTACTGTAACTGTCACAGCGATCGACAGGCGATGAATGCCTGCGGCCTCCATGAGCAAGCTCAACCTGCAAACAAAGGAATGCATTCAGTGAAAATGAAGACACTGGCCAAAAAAAAGGTACCTCCCAGATCCATCTTGTAATTAAGAGACTTACTCTTAGGCGGTGACCATCAAAGTCATATCCATCTCGACCATGAATCGCATCTTCAGCATCGTGAGGATCCTCAAACTGATACCAGATAACAATTTGGAACCACGTAAATATAACAAAACCCGAATCAAACTACGATGTACATACGGAACTGACAAGAAAATCAACCCAAAAGTTAAACAAAACCTCCGGCTACTGTTAGAGTTAGTCAATAAAGTTGTAATACCACATTGATGGGAGAAGAAAAGTATAAGAATGGAGACTTTTGTCAGTTTAATTAATTAATTAAATTTCAATAATTTGTAGTGGGGCAAATAAGACTTTAAGGAGAGTGATCTAATCACGCCTTCAATCGATTCTTTCCTACCAGTTCCTGACAATCTTAAAGTGTTATTTACGAAAAATGGATTCTGAAGTGAAGAATACGTTGAAGGCGTGGCAAGAGGAAAAAAATATTCTGACATTCATTAGAAACCGGTAACATCCTGCTTCTTTCTGACTATAGATTTGAGAATGGATGTTATATATATACGGTAGGCTAGGGTACATCCGGGCGTACGCTAGCCTTTGCCATATATATATATATATATATATATATATATATATATATATGGCGAGTTCTACGGTACCCCGGGTAAAATCCGGGGTACCGCATACCTTGAGTAAAAAAACGCTATCTAGAACTTGAATTGACTGATCTTTCGGACATGATACTATACTCTAATCCATAAAGATCAAAATATAGGTCTTAATTCACTTAATCTTATACCCCAAGTTCAATTTAGTTAGAAATAATAATCGACGGTTATGATTCGTCCAAATATAGGCAAAAAAATCAATGCACCATCTTAGAGTTTATAGTTTATGATTTAGATAATTAGGACCTAGGGTTCACTCATTAAGGGTTAGGGTATAGTATCATGCCCAAAAACCCTGCTAATTCGAGGTCTAGATAGCGTTTTCATACTCAGGGTATGCGGTACCCCGGATTTCACCCGAGGTACCGTAGAAGGCACCATATATATATATATATATATATTAAATATGTTGTTAATCTTTGTAAGATTAGCGGATCATGCACATATATATGTTCCCGCTCGCCATTTGGAAAGAAAAAAGTGGTTGTAATTGGCCCTCTTGGTTGATTTCTTTGTTAATGGAGAAGTGCTTTGCTTAACGACTAGTTATCAGTGAATAAATGCAGTCGATCCTCCATGAATGTAGTGTACTGTATATGGTCAAATAATACCATGGTTGTCTGATCCAGTTTATATATATGTATATACTTTGTCACTTTGCGTGATTTGAGATTGTATTGCATCAAAAGCACCTGCCACTGCACATCAAAACTGTTTGCACATCAAAGATACAAACACATTTCCACCGGAGACATATCGAACTCACTTTTATCCCCCTCATGCTCTCGTTCTTCCACAAACACAGCTTCAGCAAGCGTAGATCGGGAAGCTTCAAAGGACGTCAATCAGAATCTGGTTTCCGGCGAGAAGCCTTTGGCCGGCGACGAACTTCCATTTCTTGGTTCCTTGCTTTGACGGACTCCAACAGATACAACAACAATTAGGTGAGATTAGGCATCCCAACTGTTTATATGCTTGGGTTTTTGAGTCGTGACCTATTGGATTGATTAGAAAGGAGTTGGCTCATTTGTGATGTGTAGGTGTAGTAGATTATCCCAACATTGAAGTCCCATTCCCCGTTTGTGTTTAATTTTTAGCAATTATCAAGGGACAAACTCTCATGACTGGAAAGGGAAAAGGGCTGAAAGGGATTGATCAATTTTACCATGAGGATGAAGAGGTATTATGCGGTTGTGGGCTAAGAGAATCTCGAAGAATTTCACGTACTGATGGCAACCCGAATCGAAATTTTTTTGGGTGTCCATTGTTTGGCTATAAGGTTAGAGTTTTGGTAAATTTGTTCATTGCTCTTTCCATACCAAAATGAGGCTGATGGAACGATTACCAATGTCATGTGGATACAGGAGATGGAACCTTATGATTATTTGTCATGGCACGATATTAGAGTTGCATTGTACAAGGAGAGGAAACGACTTGGTGATATGGTTGCCAACTTGCAGCTTGAGAATGCAGATCTGCGTGCTAAATTAGACAGAGTATCCAAGGATAGTGCGATGTTGGCTATGAAAAATTAGTTGATTCCATACAGTCGATTAAGCTGAGGTTGGACCGCCTGGAGGCCGAGAGTTTAAGGCTCAAATGAAGGGGCTTCTTATAGACGGATGTAATTTTGTGCAGACTTGTGTGATGAGCTCATCAGACTTGTTTATTGCTGTAATTTTGAGCACCAAATCGTGTGTAAGAAACAGACTAGTTAGTGTTGTAATTTTAGTTAGATTGTTCACTTGTTGTCTGTTTAGAGTGTTGTTATGACAATTAGACTATTGTTAAGCTGTAATATTGTATTATGATTAAATGAAGGAGTAATGAAAGAGCTGCTGATATGACCCTAATTCGAAGAGACCACCCTCGAACTTGGACCAAAAATCAGAATTGCACAACGTCGAACTCTTTTTTTGGGTTTTCGCCTTTCTTGAATAGCAAGAAAGTAAAGATACTTGCGGAATCGATCAAACAAATCCAAACTTGTGAGAAGGGCCAGAAGGTATATGAAACCTTCCAAACAATCTCGAACCCGTGGAAGAGGCCAACCGATATTGTCGATGCTCGCCACAACTAGACGCGTTCTCTAGTTGATAAGAGACCACTCAAACCTCCGAATCCTCAAAGGAGCGAATAAGCAAAACTTTCACTTGAACTTGTAAACACTTGTATTTGATTGCTGAAACTTGAATGAAAAATACATTGGTTGGACTCCTATTTATAGACCCACGAATCTAAACACAAAACAACTAAGGAACACCAAATCCTACTTGAAAAAGGAAAACAAAAACCTTAATAAACAAGGAAAACAAAAACCTTAACAAACAAGGAAAACAAAAACCCTTAACAAACAAGGAAACATAATACTACTTAAATAAGGACTATAACTCGTTTTTATGACCAAAGGAAGCTCCTTAGCAGCTAAGTAATATCCAAACACGTTTTTAATGCTTAATGAAGCTCCTTAGTGGTTAAGCAATCTCTTTCCTTGTCCTTTTTCACATTTGGATGACTTGGGTAGCAAGGATGGACGTTTTGGACTCCAAGAAATGTTGTAGGCTGGATCCTTAATGCATTCTCCATTTTATCCATCAAGAATGCTCCCAGTTGATCCTTAAATCGTTGAATTCGAACCTTCATTTTGGGACCACGAGAATTGAATATTGCGCTAGTCGATATCGCATCATTCTCTCTCTCTTGAAGAAGATTCGACCTCGAATCTTTACAGAATCTTGATCCTCGATCAGCACCACTCTTCTTGGCCTTTGAATTAAATTGTCTTGGTAGTGAGGATTGTATCATTCCCCCCTTCTTAAGAACAATCCGTCCACGAATTGTAGAGACACCATTGCAATGAAAACCCTCCATGTAGCTCTGAACTTCTCGTCGGGCTTCCTCTTTGGAAATAGTATCTCCAATCACAAAATCCATATGAGCAACTTTGGAAACTATTGGTAAGTGCTCCATAACTTCCGTGGCTTCATCTTTTCCATGACAGTCTTGTTCCTCATTGTGTTGCTCAACTTCTTGCGCACTCAAATATGGAACTTCAACAAGAATATCTTGTATCGCCTCTACTTCATCGGAATCTTCATACTCTTCACAACAAGTATCCAAAAGTCGACCTTCCATAGTCGAGATTTCAATATACTCCTCCTTGTCTTTAGGTTGAATTGCTTGAATCTTGATGTCAAAGACTTCTGGACTTGTCTCTTGTGTCTCAATGGTAGCCTCAAAAGAATGCTCTTGATATGAATTTGGATTCCCTATCTTCAACGGAGCTTCGGGTTGGATTATTACCGCTGACGCACTAATTCCCCATGAAATTGCCAATCGAGTAAGGCTCGCATTTATTTGTGCTTGCCCTTGACGATAAGCTTCTATTTGCGCGCTGATGTGTCGTAATATTGCCGCCACGTCTTGTGCTTGTTCCGCCATGGTTTCTTGCTAAAGAAGAATCCCACGAATGCTTTGTCTTCAAGATACCTTCCTTACCTCACAAGAAACTCTCAAGAACGTTCAAGATTTGCTTTCTTGACGTTCAATACTTCCAAGAATGCTTCTCGAACTACCAAGAACTCCAAGAATCTTTGTCTTCTCCGCTGCGTTTGAACCGGGCTCTGATACCACTTGATATGACCCTAATTCGAAGAGACCCTCGAACTTGGACCAAAAATCAGAATTGCACAACGTCGAACTCTTTTTTGGGTTTTCGCCTTTCTTGAATAGCACGAAAGTAAAGGTACTTGCGGAATCTATCAAACAAATCCAAACTTGTGAGAAGGGCCAGAAGGTATATGAAACCTTCCAAACAATCTCGAACCCGTGGAAGAGGCCAACCGATATTGTCGATGCTCGCCACAACTATACGCGTTCTCTAGTTGATAAGAGACCACTCAAACCTCCCGAATCCTCAAAGGAGCGAATAAGCAAAACTTTCACTTGAACTTGTAAACACTTGTATTTGATTGCTGAAACTTGAATGAAAAATACATTGGTTGGACTCCTATTTATAGACCCACGAATCTAAACACAAAACAACTAAGGAACACCAAATCCTACTTGAAAAAGGAAAACAAAAACCTTAATAAACAAGGAAAACAAAAACCTTAACAAACAAGGAAAACAAAAACCTTAACAAACAAGGAAACATAATACTACTTAAATAAGGACTATAACTCGTTTTTATGACCAACGGAAGCTCCTTAGCAGCTAAGTAATATCCAAACACGTTTTTAATGCTTAATGAAGCTCCTTAGTGGTTAAGCAATCTCTTTCCTTGTCCTTTTCACATTTGGATGACTTGGGTAGCAAGGATGGACGTTTTGGACTCCAAGAAATGTTGTAGGCTGGATCCTTAATGCATTCTCCATTTTATCCATCAAGAATGCTCCCAGTTGATCCTTAAATCGTTGAATTCGAACCTTCATTTTGGGACCACGAGAATTGAATATTGCGCTAGTCGATATCGCATCAGCTGCTTTCTCAAAGACATGTTGTATAAGGAGAAGAGAAGGTTCTGTAAGATTGATTCTTTTTTTATTATAAGGAGAGGAGAAGCTTGCAGTTCAACTCATCAAATACAAACATCAGATAAACCAGAACATATGCGACATAAGTAGCTGTAGAATTATTTATCAAAGCATTCTGAGTCATACTATAAAGTCAGTTTGCGTACACATAGTTTGAATGGATGGGGAACTTTCAAAAGAAAAATACCTCAACCTCTTCATATCACCTATGCATACTAACTCGTACCTGTTAGCTTTGCATAAGAGAGGTAAGTTTCCCATCCAAACTACATGTGTTCTAACAAAATTATCCCTACATACCTAGGTACACCACTATAGTCACATACATAGCTTCTACAGTCCCATTCACAGCCCTACATACACAACTACTACATGATCATAACTTCTCAACACAAAAAATTTTGAATAAAGTACTTTCGATCCTCCTCATTGTCCAATGCATAGAAAAGCCTTGTCTTACGATCATTCTCCACCAAGACCATAGCAGCATCAAGAACTTGGCAGCATTCTAAACCTTCAATTTTTCGTATCTCTGCCATCAATGTTGCTTCATTTCTAGTCTCTTCTTCATGGTCTTCTAAGATGGTTCCAAGAGTATCAATTGCCTTGGATATGACAGGCTTCAACACATCGAGTTCATCGGCTACAGCTGCAATTGCATCATCCGTCTAATTTTCTGTTTTCTTTGCCCTCTTCCTAATGTCGTCACATGCCCCTGTTTCTAGAGGAACTGCTTTATGCGTCGAAGTAGTAGCAGCTGCCCTCTGGGACATCTCAACCCCTTCGTTGATCAAATCTTCCATAAACCTCTCAGCACTATGTCCCTCTACAACGTGTGGTGTATGAGTTACATCCAAATCAATGAATGTCAGACCATCTATGGTGGGGGAGCTCACATCATCAGTTAAACCCACTGTTTTCCTTCCATTTGCAGGACCAACTTTCCCAAACACTTTCAATAGTTCATCATAAAATGGGAAAGGCTTCCTGTTAAATTTTTTGCAGTTTGGGAAAACCTACAAACAGATGGGTAAGGACTGTTAAAATATTATGGTCACTGATATTTGATGCAATTTGGGTTAAAGTGACAAATTACCTTCACAATATTCTCAAAGACATCATCATCCAGTGGAGGTGTCTTTGTTACTTCATCCCAACCACATCCGCTTTGATTACGCAGCAAGTGCACAACATGGAAGTCCTTCTTGAGAAACTTGTGCCTACTACGAATGTGTGGTTCAACTCTGACACCGCAACCAAGAGCCCTCTTCTCCATCATGTACTGAAGGTCAGAAAAAGTCCCATTCTTGAAAGATCCGTTCTCCACCTGATGCCTCTGAGCTGACTCCACCATGCATTGTATGAGCAGAGCATTGAGCTTCTCGTCCCACGAGAAGTAACTAGCAGTTGGCTCAGCTACTTCGCCTTCGTTGATGACTTGCTTTCTTTTTCTTGCCGTCCTACAAACAAAGAAGCCATTCATAGTAGCACCCACATCTTTAACATAAACCATTCAATCACATAAGCCACTTATAAATAGTCTTCATTCGGTTAGAATACAACATGATTAACATAAATAACAAAATCCTTCAATTAGTTAGAATACAAGCATTTGATACCAATTGTAAATAACATAAATAACATCCATTGACAGCAGCACCCTTCATTCACTTAGAATACAACATGAATGGTCTTCATACAAACAAAATACATGTTCATCCTATAAATAGATGCCTTAATACAACATTTCCGAAGTCCTAAACGTTTCTGCTACTTCTGTTCTCCCACATGTCAATTGATTTTGAATCCCTGAACTGACTCCATAGTCGTGTATGACTAATTTCGGACACTAGATCAATTTCTTCCACCACGAATGAAGGATGCTGATAAGGTTCTTTATCCCTATAATCTCTTTCAAATGTGTCAACTCCATGCTCTATCTTGATGAAATTATGCAGCAAGCAACATGCATACACTAATAGGGTAACAACTTCAGGAGAGAACCAACTAGTTTCTCAAAGAATTGCCCATCGATTTCTTAAAATACCGAATATCTTTTCAACCACATTTCTTGCGGAGGCATGCTTCATATTTGAAGTACTCTTCGGTGGTTAATGGCCTATTACCTCCTCTCCATTCTTTCAAGTGATACCTTTGTCCTCGGTAAGGGGCTAAAAATCCTTCACAATTGTTATACCCGACATCCACCAAGTAGTACTTTCCTATTAAATAAAAATAGATAGGTAAGGACTAAAACAGATGGGTAAGGACTAATTAGTGGATTTGAGGATATATTTTCAGCATGTCGAGGGACTTCTAAAAGCTTATATTACCTTTCTCACCATGTAGACCATTTGGCCTAGCCAATGCATCTCTAAGAACTTTTCCATCAAGTGTTGAACCCTCCCAACCAGCTAGACAGTATATGAACTCGAGGTTTGGGTTGCACACCCCCAATACATTCATAGAAATATGCCCTTCGTGATCCAAATACCTATGCTTATCTTCTACCCTAACACGCAGCTTCACATGTGTTCTGTCTAGAGCACCTAAGCAACCCTAAACAATAAAAGAGTCATTCTTAAGATAATTACAGAGGGTCAACTTATAAGAAATTTCAACACAAAATGAGAATAATTATTCACCTTGAAGTGTTTCCACTTATCATCATTACAATTTCTGGTATGGCTTATGGTCGCCGTAGTAAAAGAAGATGCAATCGTAGGATTGCATGGAGGACCCTATGGATAACTTGTGATATGATCTCAATTGGATCACTCTACACATCACAATTACTTGATAAGGAAGCTATCTTAACTCACATGAAGAGTTCTGAATTTTGGCTAAGTGTTGGGACAGTGTCAAGCAACCTACTTTTGGAGACTTGGTTGTCTCGAAATGGCTCAATGAAAATGCTAGTTGGATAGCTTGTTTTGAAGATGATATGTTTATCTATACATTGGTATGCCCTGGAGCTGGATAGAAATGTCCAGAAAGTCGTTTCCCATATGTCTAAATATGCCACCTGGAAAGTTGGAAACTGCGAGAATTAGGCTGTCTGGATTCGAGTGTGAAAGGCAACTTGGGTGCTCAAATCACGACGATTGACTTGGAACCAAGTTTCAAGGTTTGTTCCACATGAAAGCTTGCATTTTCTACTACAGAAATGAGGGGTTGGTTGACTGAATCAAGAACTGGAAGGCCTTGATCGAGGGCTTTGAAGTTGGCCTCAAGCCACGAAATCACTTGCCTTCCAAGGCAACTCTGTCTTTCCTTTTTGGACACAGATTATGTTTCTTTGCTGGATTTTGATTCTTTTTCGAGTTAGATTGTGTTTAAACTTCCTTATTAGTTGTTAGACGTAGCCTAGGTCAATATAAACCGCAATTTGCATTGTAATCGTCAGAGTTTATGAATGAAAACGTGACTTGTCACAAGATCTTGCGTTGTTGGTTGTGTTCCAGCTTCGTGTTTGCTTCGTATCGATTGAAACCACATCAATCGTGGTTGAGCTTTGACTTAAAACCAATCGAGCCTCTTCCCAAGTGAGAAATTGCACCTTTAGGTCGTTTTCGTTTTAAGTTTTGTTCAAGTTTTCAATTCTTTCTTCGACGGAATTAGTGTTGCGCGCTTTGATCTCAAACAAGCACAACTGTGCTCGTATTAAGTGGCATCAGAGCCTTGGTTCTACGCAGGGACTAGAACCACGTAAGGCGTGACCAGAACCATCTCGACAGTGACCCTATCATTCGGTGAGTCAGAATCGGCGACTCAAGTTGAAGGACAAGCAATGGATGACCAAGCCCTCAACAATTCCGAGCTTCTACAATCCTTGGTGGCAACGTTTCAGGCGCAATTTGACCAAATTCAGAAGCAATTGGTCGAGTTGAGCATGGAAGTCAATACCCATGTTCTGCCGCAAAACATGGCAGAGCATGGCGGCAACCGCCGACCTCGACAGGAGGAGCAACCCAATGAGGCCAACCAGAAGCTATTGGCGAGAGTCCAGGAGCTCAAACAAAGGATGGTGGTGGCTGATGACGATCATGAGCGGCATGTCCGTGATCGTCGTGAACATAGGGGCGGACGATCGGAAGCAAAGCCAGGAATCCCTCAAGGGATCAAATTGATGATTCCGAATTTTCAGGGAGACACTAAGTTCCTCTGCATACCTCGATTGGGAGCAAAAGGTCATCCTTTTCTTCCAATGTGGTTGATTCAATGAACCACTGAAGATAGTTATGATCACTGCAAGGAATCAGATAGGGGTCGAGAAGAGTTGAAGAGTATTTTCGTGAGTTGGATTTGTTGTTACTACGAGCTTACGTTAGGGAGGACAGGGAAGCTATGATCGCTCGGTTCCTCCACGACTTAGGTCGTGAAATTCGCCAGGAGGTGGAGTTAAGGGCGTTTTCTGGATTTAGAAGAGGTTGTGCACTTGCCTATAAAAATTAAGAAGCAGCAAAAGGCGACTTCGGGCAGGAGGTTTCCAGGCCATAAACCTGCTATTGAGAGTGCATCTGAGACTTACACTCTTCCCCACAAACCAAAGATGCTCAAACCTGCACCGCGGAATGTTCCTACGATAAATATAGAACACACAGGGGCCTCCAGTGACTCGATTCAGTGCTTTAAGTGTCATGGTCGAGGCCACAAGGCAAACCAATGCCCTAACCTCAAGACCTTAATAGTACGAGACGGAGAGTACATCTCAGATGACGAAACTAGGAGCTCAATTGCACTTAAAGATTCCTCTGAAGAGGAAATGGATGAAGAAATTGAGGCGGAGTCTGAACATTTTATTTCAAGAATGAATTTACTAGCCTTGACGATGGAAGGTGAGGTAAGTGACGACCAACGAACTAACCTCTTTCACACGAGGTGCCTCGTCAGTGTAAGCTGCTTATCAGTGGTCGTCGATGGAGGAAGCTGTACAAATGTAATCAGCATTGATGCTGTCAAGAAACTTGGGCTGGAGACAATTAAACATCCTGATCCATACAACCTCCATTGGCTCAATGATTATGGTGAGATTAAGGTTACAAGACGAGCTCGCGTTAACTTCAGAATTGGCTCGTACAAGGACGAGCTCTTGTGCGATGTAGCACCGATGCAAGCCGCCCATCCATCTCTTGCTCGCAGGTCGTGGCAATATGATCGAGCTGTGACCCATGATGGTGGTTCCAACTGCTATAAGTTCAAGCACGACGAGAAACGCGTTCTGCTCAAACCATTGTCCCCGTCAGAAGTGCGATCCGATCGGTAGAAGATGGTTGCCTTGAGGGCTCGCGAAAGTGGAGAATCAGGGACATCAAGGCATAGAACGTGTCTGATTCGTATGGGGCTCATGCTCACCGCATTACAAAGGCCTATGACGCCTCGACGGATCAAGTCCGAGCCAATCTGCCCTCTGGTGTTGACGAAAGAAAGGAGGAAAGTGGGTGAATTGGTCGGAACGGTGGGGAGCGATTCGGACGAAGCCAACAATGCAGGCACGATCGATATTGGTCAATAAAAGTGTAGCAATGTTCAATTGGAGTCAACTCACGTCGAATCAAAAAGCCCCAATTCGCAAATTTTAGGCCAAAATACGAAGAACAACGCGGCCGAGAAGGGTGAATTGGTTGGAGGGATTGAGCGTGAGTTGTGTGTAAAGGAGACTATGGGCATGCTCGGGAAGGTCCAAGGAAGCTGTAGGCACGATCAATTCTCCTAGGCAAACCCGAAATCAGAAATGCCCAATTGTGAAATCACTTCGCCGGTTTCTGGTTTTGCTACGTCAAAATCTGAGAATTTCAAACTTTCCGATGGCGGGAAAATTGGAAATCGTGATTGGCCCCGATTTAGCCAGATTCAAAGGATGGGTATGGACGGAATCGAGTTATGGGAAAATTCTATGCCGATTGTGGGAAGTGGATTGGGACGAGGCGGGGTGATGACTCGGTATTTGCACATGTTTTCCCCTTTGTTTCTTGATTGTTTGAGCTTGAATTACCGTGTCTTTGGCCTATTTTACGCTAGGTTGTGTTCCTTTGTCACATTTCAGGTCCTAGCACATAAAGTGAAGCATAGGCGCAAGTTTCAAGTCAATCAAGATCAATTGGCGATTCGGGAGCAGAAACTCGGGCATGACCTGAAGAAGAATGGATTTCTACCTCACTTTATGGACAAAGAATCATGCAAGCTTGTCATGCAAAGAAAGAGGACGAGACTACGAGCGTCTGGGATCAAACGGCGACTGATTCGGAGTCCGGACGAGGGAGAAACGAAGCATTGAATATAGGGGAACAGGTTCGGCAGTAAAAACACGGGCGCGCCTAAATCAAAACACGGCCGTGCCCATATTTAGGCATGACCGTGTTTTGACCGACGCGACCGAGCGTGTTTTTAACACGGGGCAAAACACGGGCGGTCAAAAGCAAAGCACGGCCGTGCCCGCGACCGTGTTTTGCCCAGAATCGGGTTTTTAACCCCAAATTCGAGCCAAAGGAGAGGGAGAGCTGGGTTTTGGATCCCAAACACCCAAGGGACGAACCAAAGAGAGAGGGGGCGATTTGAGGGCATTCTTGGAGTGGAATTGGAGGATTTCTTCGCCTTGGAAGCTCGAGGAATAAGCCCGGACTTGAAGACTGATCATCTGAAGATTCTTACTGCAGTCTCTCTCTTCTCTATGGAGTAACTTCCCTTCACTTAGGTTTTGAGGAACCCTAGCTATGTCTGTTTGATTGGATGATTGTATGAGTACTTTGACTTGATAATCTTGAGTTCATATTCAATCTATGCATGTTTTCATGATTCAATTCTGCTTTAGTCGAGATTATTGATTCTGCTTTGATCCTATGAGAGCGAATACCTGATTAGGTCAATAGAGCACCATAGATTGATAGTAGTGGATCGATTGCTTTAGTCGAGGGTTGATTCACTGCTTTGTATCAATTGAGAACCTCATTCGATAGAGGGAGTCTAGTTCAGAACGCCTTGATCAGTTGTTCTAGAGAAGGATACGTCCCTCTAGGCAATTGACTCAAGAGGGCCTTGTTCCTTTAGTCGAGACTCAAGGTCTAGTTAAGGATTCTCCGCATTGTGAATGAAAGTGAAACAGGTTAGAGATCATCAATCATTAATCTGGCTAGTGGCTAGGGGGAATCATACCTAAGTGAGTTCCCAACCTGTAATTAGATTAACTTTAACTGTAGTTTGTTAGAGTAGTTTTAGTTCTTTCATCTTAATCTGGTTTGCTAGATAATGAATTGAAGCTGAGTAATAGTAACTCTAGAGACCCGTGGATTCGATATTTATTACTTGAGCCACTATACTGCAGTCCCTTTCATTGGTTACACTTGGCCATTGTTAGGAGTTGTGTCATAGCGAGTCAAGTTTTTGGCGCCGTTGCCGGGGAATTTCTAGATTATTAGGAAAGGCAGAAGTTTGTTAATTTAGCTTTTTTTTTTTCTTTTCTTTTCCAC